TGAAAAAGTTCTGGAGATGAACAGTGGTGATGGTTGAACGACAATGTGACCGTACTTAATGCCACTTAACTGCACACTTGAAAATGGTTCAAATGGTAAATTTTATGTTATGCATGTATTTTACCACAATTTTGTAAAATGTTAACAACAAAAAAAGATAAGAGATATCTTAACCTATCTACCACACCTACACTTTTGGTGTGAAGGTCACAGCTGCTGCTTGTTCCGTTTATGAGGGAAGGGTGACAAAAACATAGACATTATCAGACTATAAGCATCTCCAGAGTAAAATAGTTCTCCTACCATCACCCTGTGTTTGCAGGCATTTCTTTGAATCTTCTAACATATTTCAGATTTCCTCATAACAAAAATACGTAGTTCAACAAGTCATAATTTATTTTGTGATGCATATTTATTGAAATTTCACGTCTTGGGAGAAAGCAAGTTATTTTGACTCCAGGCTTTATTTTGAGCGACAACGAGAACTAAAGTGGAAAAGAAGGAAAACTAATATTAAGTGATTCCTACTATGTTAAAGGAAATTCCACACAGATTTTCTCACTTAATATCATAATAATTCTGGAAAGAATTTTCTCTACTTTATACCTGAGGAAATTGAGAGTCAAAGAGGTAGAGAAAATTTCTCAAGTTCACATAGCTAGTAAGCAAGGGAGTAAAAACCAACTGGTGACTGTCTGAAAGAAACCAAAAAAGCCCTTTCTGTTACTTTAAAATATGGGGGAAAGTGAGCACATTACCACAGTGTTTGTGTTGTAGTATCCAAAGACGGAAGCCCTGAGTATATTTAGATGTAAATCCTAAAAACAAGAAAAGCCAATATCAAAAGTTCAGGAGGAAGACAGGGACAATCCCAAAGTCATAAACTCTGATAGGGAAAGAGCCTTAAGGCTGAATGAGAGGTTGTTAAAACAAGAGCCTGATGATATAATCTCACATTATGATAATGAGGAAGAAAGATGTCACAGGGTGAGAAGCAGCAGGATCGATTTAAAGAAACCAAAGTATTTCCACAGGGAACTTTCTGGTCAACATGCGTTTTAAAATAACATACCAACAACTCTAACAAATGCTAACAGAAGTGTGGGAGCGGCAAGGGCCCTGGTTCCTGTGAGCCGGGCAGAGAGTGGGAGCTAAAAGAAAAAAAAAAAAACCTAGAAGCAAATGCTAACATCCTAAGTGAACTGAATCTAGCGGAAAAACATGACAACGAAAATCAAGAACTTGAATATGCCTAAGGATCTAAAGATAAATTCAAAGAGCAAGAAAAACAACAAAGTCGATGCCATAACATAAACTGAAAACTGAAGAAATAACTGAGTGATTTAATTTCCATTTTGTATATTATTTTCTCAAAAATAAAATAACTATTTAAGGCCAAGATAGAAAAAAGATAAGTGAGCATCTCACTACTTTAAATATATTTAAATCCCAAGAGTCCTATAATGTACATTCCAGATTTCAACTTCAAATGATTTTTTAAACATGAATAGAAAAGGCACAGCAGACAATTAATAGGAAAAGTTATTTCGTTTTTCAGCATGCCCAAGATGGGTCTGGAAGCCATCAAATACAATATTTCTGTACGTGACTTTAAAAGGCTGGCTGATGGACAGTTTAAAATCTGGCTCTGAATAAAAAAAATGTCTAGCTCTGCCAGATTTGTAACCCTGCACTTGTTCACTAACTCTTGTTCATTAACTATTGACTCCTCAGTAAATGCAGATGTTGAACTCAATTTTGTAGGATGTGCTGTGAAGATTGAGAATAATATACATAGAATACCTGGCACATGGTAGGTGCTCAATATATACTAGTTTCCTATTATATATATACTTTGCTGTAACTGATCTAAGATAGAAGTGGGCTATATTTATATAGCCTACTGACATAACTATTTAACAGCAGGAGAGAGATACTTTCCCATACCTTTGCAGCCTCTGGCATATAGCAAACTAATTCGCTAGTAGTATTCTCCACCAGTGGAATGCCAATTTGAAAACCTTCCATTTTAATGGACCCATGTGCTCTTCTGGTAGCTGTTTCGTCCTAAGTATGATACCAGAAGTATCAAGCATACCTTGAAGTAGTATATAAATCTTGCCTTGAGAACAAAAGAATAACAGCGCTAAAACAGGAGGCTCAGCAGATCAGACAGAAGTCAAGCTGGTTCTATAGAATCTGACCAAAGCTGGGGGCAAGAAATAGAATTAGACCAGAGAATCGAGCAAGATTCCACAGGAATGTCAGAAGCAAAACTCATCTGATTGCTATTAAATCTCTCAGGGGCATTCTACCTTCTCTTGCACAGCCTTGAACCAAGGGGAATTATGAGAAAATGAACTGGTTTTGGAAATGTAGCCAATCTAACTCTGTTCGGCTTAACGGCAGAGGCAGGACTCAGGGAAAGTAAAGAAAGACAGACAAAAAGCCCTCTAATACCACTCCATTCCTTCGGGGGGAGCGCTGAAAAACAGAAACATCCCTAAGTCCCAGATATTCTGGGCCTTAGGGCTTTTCCTCCCCGCTTCTTATTATCACACCGCCTCATTTATAATAGCTGCTACATCATACTTCTCTGTGGCAGTCTTGCTTTATGACTCACTGCTCTGTTTATCAGTATTTGCCCTGCAATGTTTCAAGCTCTTTGCTCTTTTCTGCTATTGACTTCAGTCAGCTCAAGACTTCAGATGCAGATATACATCAGAGTGAGAATAGGAGTTGCTGCAAAGGGTCCAGAAAGCAAGGCTATTATTATCAGATGCCACAAAACCAAGATCTCACATATCTAATGAATAAACCCAATGCGTTCTACCATCTAGTTGAGGGAAGGCACAAAAGAAAAGGAAGTCACGGGAACAGACTGATTTGGAATAGATTCTATGCAGAATTTCAAAGGAATGAGCATTCCTTTTTTGACAGAAAACAAGAAATCTAGATGCTTTAATCTTTTCTTAAAATAGGAAGTTATACAATTTAAGTTATACAAGTTATACAATGTTCTCCTCATCAGTTTTAGAGTAGTTACCTCTCTGAATTTCCCCAAAGAATGTTAATATAATTGAAATCTTTTTTTTAATTGAAGTGTAGTTGACACAGAATGTTACATTAGTTTCGGATGTAGAACACAGTGATTGGACAACTCTGGGTATGCAATGCTACAAAAGTAGTTAACATGTGTCACCATACAATGTTATTATAATATAGTTTAATTCTTTTTTTTCTTCCTTATCCTTCTCTTTTTTTTTAAAGATTTCATTTATTTATTCATGAAAGACAGAGAGAGAGAGAGGGGCAGAGGGAGAGACAGGCTCCCAAGGAGCAGGGAGCCCGATGCAGGACTCGATCCCAGGACCCCGGGAGCATGACCTGAACCGAAGGCAGACCCTTAACCATCTGAGCCACTCAGGTGCCCCTCTTTTTTTTTTTTGTTATTAACATATAATGTATTATTTGTTTCAGGGGTACAGGTCTGTGATTCAACAGTCTTGCACAATTCACAGCACTCACCATAGCACATACCCTCCCCAATGTCTATCACCCAGCCACCCCCCCACCCCCCTCTGCTCCAGCAAACCCTCAGTTTGTTTCCTGAGATTAAGAGTCTCTTATGGTTTGTCTCCCTCTCTGGTTGCATCTTGTTTCATTTATTCCTCTCTTCCCCTATGATCCACTGCCTTGTTTCTCAAATTCCACATATCAGTGAGATCATATAATTGCCTTTCTCTGATTGACTTATTTCGCTTAGCATAATACCCTCCAGTTCCATCCATGTCGTTGCAAATGGCAAGTTATAGTTTAATTCTTAATAAACTGTTCTCTGTGACTTAATTCTACCCAAAAGAGAATACATAAAACAATATCAACACACAAAAATCAACATGAAATTAGCACTAAAAACCTAACTAGGGGGATGCCTGGGTGGCTCAGTTGGTTAAGTGTCTGCCTTTGGCTCAGGTCCTGGGATCAAGTCCCCACATCAGGCTCCCTACTCATCGGGGAGCCTGCTTCTCCCTCTCCCTCTGCTTGTGTGCTCTCTCTGTCAAATAAATAAAATCTTTAAAATAAATAAATAAATAAATAAAAACCTAACTAGGATGTATTATCTTTGTATATGTTATTTACATTGACAAGTTAGAATTTGATTTTTGTACCAGGTTATCTCAGGATGTCAATTCCTTACATTACCTTGAGATGCTCTAGGATTAATAACGAGCTCTCCTCCAGGAGACTACTGGGTGGACAGGAAGGATCTGAGCTGCATATAGGAAGTGGAGCCCTGCAGCTTAGCCCTGCAAGGAGGTTAAGATCTCTCTCTCTCTCTCTCTCTCTCTCTCTCTCTCTCACACACACACACACACACACACACACACACACACACACACACACTTTCCTTTCTTCTTCCCCAGCTCTCTGGAACTGCTTCTTCTTCATGCCCTAAGCCTCATACCAAATGTTTGCTAGCCTAGAACTTACTGGATTCCAATGAATGAAGGGAAATTACTGAAAAAGGCATTTAAGCCCTCGCCACAGTCTCTCTGTCCCCATTATCTCTCTCTCTCTTCTGCTCCCTCCCAAATTCCACCAGCTGTTGCATAGGAATCTGCTGTCTCCTTGTCGTTGGACCCATATGTTTCTGGATCTAATGCTTTCTTTTAATTAGACCTGTATTTCAGGCCTAATTCCTATCTGTAATACTCCCCATCCTTCCACCTCCAGCACACACACATATACACATACAGGAGTACGCAAACATCTGGGTTTCCATACCTGAAGGCTGCTGGGTCAAGCAGAGAAAGGGTAAGGAGTAGGAAGGAGAGGGAAGGAGCAGGGGTAGAGGAGGAGGAAGGAAGGGAAAGAAAGAGGAGAGAGGGGAGGGAAAGAGAAGAGCGTTCCTTTGGCTCCTCAAAAGAGAACACACAGTACACTGGAACAGCATTCACCAACAAAACAACCGACATTTGCTACATGTTTGCATTTACCATTTCCTGGTTGTCTGTGAACATAAGGAGATGTGAGTCTTCAGCTAGGCAGAATTCCAGACTAGAATTCCAGTCTTTTTTCTCCACTGAGAAGTAATAACAGTAGTTACCATACTTCATCCAGAGGTCTGGACAACTGTGACAACTGGCACAAGAGGTACATTTGGAACCTGGAAAGGAAGAGGGCGTGGTTCGCATCTTTATGGACCACTTAGTCTTGGAAATGAAAGGGGAGATAAATAGAACATGGCGATCCCCCCCCCCCCCCCCCCGTCTTCCCTGCCCCACCGCCTTTCAGACTAAGATTTAGAGAAATGCACAATGCCTGCCCTCAAATTAAAAACTTCATGATGTCCAACTCTATCACTACTACTGTGCATTCCACTACTTAAGCATGTGACTATGACTAAAGCAGGTAAGGATCCCCGTACAGGCCACATGCGTTTTGGGCGCCTGGGTTGCTCAGTTGGTTAAGCGACTGCCTTCGGCTCGGGTCATGATCCTGGAGTCCCGGGATCGAGTCCCACATCGGGCGTCTTGCTCAGCAGGGAGTCAGCTTCTCCCTCTGACCCTCTTCCCTCTCATGCTTTCTATCTCTCATTCTCTCTCTCTCTCAAATAAATAAATAAAATCTTTAAAAAAAATAATAATAAAGCAGGTAAGGAAATGGATACAACCTGGCAGAGCACCGTGGACAGAGTACACCACTTGTGCTGGAGATCTTTACGCACATATGCTGTATTCATACCAGATAAAATAACCCAGCATCTGCATTATATGTATCAGCCCATTGTCTATGTGGGCTTAGTGCACGCACTGCGTAACTGCATAATATACATTGCTGAAATCAGGCCGAATTTTCCAGAATGCCCAACCTCAACCAATACCCCATGATAATGCAAAAGAAAAGGACAGAAACTAGAAAAAGCAAACTTAACTAGAGTGAAAGATAGGTGTTTTATCTTTTATCACAAATGTGATTGTCTGTCATCATTAGATATTAGATAAAAGACTTATACTTCAGCAAAAAGAATGTATCAAACAAGTTTCTGACAGAGAAGGATATCAGATGCTAAAGTAAGAAGTGATGTAATTTCTTCACAGGCTCTTTTAAATACAGAACATTCTCACTCCTCTAAAATGGCTGGATTATATCCTAAAAGGGGGGGGGGTGCCTCCGTGGCTCAGTCAGTTAAATGTCTGCCTTAAACATCTGCCTTCAGCTCAGTTCATGATCTTGGGGTCCTAGGAATAAACACCGCATTGAGCTCCCTACTCAGTGGTGAGTCTGCTTCTCCCTTGCCCTCCACCCCTTTCCCTACCTCATGCTCGATCTCTCTCTCTCTCTCAAATAAATAAAATCTTTTAAAAAAATGGCTGGATTATAGTTCTGTGAAAATGAAAGGGAACTGAATAAGCTTTCATGGTCATTTCAGCCAAGATTCGAAAATTTTATTGGTTTTCTACTTTCATAAAATACATTTGTATAAACTCCTCACTGGCACAATTCCACGACAAGCACGTACGAATCATTATAGCAAATGAGCACGTGTGAATATCTGACTGCACAATACGTTATATACCTAATCTAGGTTTGGGGGTTAAAAAGTAGCAAAGGCAGTCCTTTTTAAAAATGTCAAAATTAGACAACTTTTCTGTGGCTTGGCATGTGACCAATATAGGGTTCTGGAAATCAAGCTATACAGTTGGCACCTTATAAATTTGTGCTTTTTCCATACAACTGTGACATTACCCAGCCTGAATGAGAAATTCCCAACCTCCTTGGAGTCTCTTTCTTTCAAAGGACTTGGGTTTGAGGTAGAGGTCCTAGGGCTAAACCCTTAGAGTCCTTTTTTTTTTTTTTTAAAGATTTTATTTACTTATTTGACAGAGAGACAGAGAGAGAAAGCACATGTAGGCAGAGTGGCAGGCAGAGGGAGAGGGAGAAGCAGGCTTCCCACTGAGCCAGGAGCCTGATGCGGGGCTCGATCCCAGGACCCCGGCATCACGACCTGAGCTGAAGGCAGCCACTTAACCGACTGAGCCACCCAGGCGCCCCTGAATCCTAGGATCCTAATGAATAAAGTCTGCATAACAATCATCTCCAGATAACATAAACTTAAGTCAGCACTCTGGATTATAAAATAATAAACTGAGGGCTTTCTGGATCATCATAGTTAATGATCTAGGAATAATTAAATCTAGAAAATTTCACTTCAATGTGAAAGCACTCTAATTGGAAAAAAAAGCAGAATATATTTAATTAAATTTTGATATATCTATTATGTGAAAAGTTAAACACAATACATAGATAATACAATTTTGATTATCATAATAGATATGGTATTAGGAAAGTGTTTATGACATAATACCCAGTCTTACTTTAAAAAAAATTTTTAGAGGACTTGATATTCTTTGTTAAAAGAATAAATACTTACACAAATGCCTGTAGTCAAAGCCTAGGAGACGATACCCAGGAAATGTTGTTCTGTACAAGTAATGATTTATTTTGTTGGCATTATTCTTCATTTTTCAAATGTTCTGTTATGTTATGTTGCTTTTATAACAAAACATAGGTAAAATAGGGATACTTCTGACTGGTTTAGTCAGAAGAGCATGCAACTCTTGATCTCAGGGTCATGAGTTCAAGCCCCACATTGAGTGCAGAAATTACTTAAATAAATAAACTTTTTTAAAAATAGGCAGAATAGGGGCGCCTGGGGGGCTCAGTCGTTAAGCGCCTGCCTTCAGCTCAGGTCACGATCCCAGGGTCCTGGGATCAAGCCCCGCATTGGGCTTCCTACTTCCTGCTCTGCAGGAAGCCTGCTTCTCCCTCTTCCACTCTTCCTGCTTGCGTTCCCTCTCTTGCTGTGTCTCTCTCTGTCAAATAAATAAATCTCTAAAAAAATAAAATAAAAATAGGCAGAATAAAAGATTTTAACTTAAGTTAGTACTTACCCTGGCAGTGAATCCACTGGACAAGCAGGAAACACACAAAAATGGTATTCAGAAGTCCCAAAGCTACTGCCACAGGGCATGAGAGAGGGAACCTGGAAGAAGAAACTGTGAGAACAGAATCCAAAACAAAATCCTGAGTTAGAATAAAAGTTGAAGGAAAAGAAAAGGCAAAGGAAGGATATCTGGAGCCTTGAAGAAATTTGGCCTAGTGAGAACTGAGACATAGGCCCTAAATTTCTTTGCTGGATATCAGGGATTTGCTCTGAAGTCTAGAGTAACAACCCACCTCTCTATCAAGGAACATCCTACATTTATCAAGTTAAGAATACTTTTTTCTTGGGATGCCTGGGTGGCTCAGTCAGTTAAGCGTCTGTCTTTGGCTCAGCTCATAATCCCAGGCTCCCGGAATTGGCCCCGCATCGGGCTCCTTGCTCAGTGAGGCGCCTGCTTCTCCCTCTGCCTGCCACTCCCCCTGTTTGTGCTCTCTCTCTCTCTCTGGCAAATAAATAAAATCTTAAAAAAAAAAAAAAAAGGAATACTTTTTGTGGGCACTGAATGGCTCAGTCTGTTAAGCAGCCAACTCGATTTCAGCTCAGGTCACGTTCTCAGGGTCTTGGGATCAAGCCCCATGTCAGGCTCCCCGCTCAGCAGGGAGTCTGCCTCAGGATTCTTTCTCTCCCTCTGCCCCTCCCCCCCAAAATAAATAAGTTAATCTTTATTTTTTTCTAAAGTTTTTATTTATTTATTTGAGAGAAAGAGAGAGCGTGAGAGAGAGTGCATGAGCAGGGAGAGTGGGAGAGGGAGAAGCAGGCTCCTCACTGAGCAAGGAGCCTGATGTGAGACTGGATCCCAGGACCCTGGGATCATGACCTGAGCTGAAGGCAGATGCTTAACGACTGAACCACCCAGGCGCCCGTGTAATACCTTTTTAACCCAATTTAAAAAATACATATTTTGACTAGAAAAAAATTGATAATGCAATTCTCATTCTCTTCTCCATTTCAAAATCTCCCTCTTATCACCAGTATATCACATCTCTTTCTCTGTGTCTTTTCCCACTTTCTGAATAGCCTCTTCTAACTCACCCTCTAGAGAGTTCTCTTTAAAAAAGACTGCCTTTTCTTTTTCTTGCAGTTGGTGCTTTTATATATACATAAACTTACTAACATATATATAATTTATATATATAAATATTATAGATATAAATATATAAAAATATAAAAATTTATATGTATAAATTTTTCTGGATTTTTAAATATCAATATATATGAAGTTTCCAAAAATGTGTATGTCCTTTTCTGACCTCTCTATATTCAATTCCATTGGTCTATGTGTCTACTCCAGCATCAACAGCAGTGTTTTAACTAAAATAGCTGTATAATGTCCCCCCCCCCACCAAATCTACATTAAAATTTGGGATAGGATTATGTTAAATGTATAAATCAATAGAAGGCCTGTTGGAATATTTGACATCTGAACATATCAAATCTTCTAATTCATGATCACAAATATCTCTCCACTTATTTGTATGCACTATACAAGAATTTTAATTTCTCTATAGAATTTTGGGCAACCTTGGTTATATTTATAACCAGTTTCTTAATATTGTTGATGTTATTTAAATAGTATCTTTTTCTATTTTTTTCCCTGTTTGTTGCTGGGATATGGAAGTGTAATGGTGTTTTATATATCATTTTGTATCTAGTAAACTTACTTAAACCTCTGAATATGATAGAATCTTTTGGATCCCCTATTTATTTGTGACTTCTAAGCCTTTCTTGGTTAGTCTAGCCAGATATTTGTATGTTGTTTTTTGCTGTTGTTGTTGGTTTATTTGGTTTTTTAAGGAACCAACTTTTTCTACTGTTGCATGTCTATTATGTGCGTGTTTTCTGTTTTATTTATTTTATTTTTTTGTGGATGTGTTTTCCTATTATTAATTTCTGCTGTTAACTATATTATTTCCTTCTACTTTCTTCGGATTTTATTTCTCCTTTTTTATACATTAAAAAAGTATTCTATTTTTTAGATGGATATTTGACTCAGTAATTTTTATCCTTTCAGCTAAAAAAAGATTAATTTATTAATTTATTTTAGAAGTTGGGGTAGCAGCAGTGAGAGAGAGAAACTGAAGCAGGTTCCATGCTGAGCATGGAGCCCGACCTGGGGCTCCATCTAACACCCCCGAGTTTATGACATGAGCCAAAACCAAGAGTCGGATGCTCAACCAACTGCACCACCCAGGTGCTCCATATCCTTTCAGCTTTTTTTTTTTAAGATTTTTTTTTTTTAATTTATTTTTGAAGAGAGAGAGAGAGACAGCAAGAGAGGGAACACAAGCAAGGAGCATGGGAGAGGGAGAAGCAGGCTTCCCGCTGAGCAGGGAGCCCGACGTGGGACTCGATCCTTTCAGCTTTTTAATATAAATATTTAAGACTAGAAGTTTCCTAAAAGTACAGTTTTAACTGCACCCTACATATTTGGTATTTAGGATTTTTATCATTCAGTTAAAATGTTCTAAATTTTCTTTCCAACTTCTTCTTTGACCCATAGATTATATTAAATACTAAATGTGTTAGTTTATTCCCTCTTTTTTGCTGGTTTGCTTTGTTGTTGTTTCTAGTTTCTGACTTAAGTACACTGAGGAAAGAAGATATGCCATGTATGATTTCAGTCCTTTGAAATTTGTTTAAACTTTTTTATGGCCCATTATATAGTCAATTTTGCAAATGTTCCCTGTGTGTTTGAAAAAAATTATTTTGCACTCGGTGGATATGATATTCTGTATGTGTCAAAATTTAATTATGCTGTAAAATTTTTGTCTGACTTTTTAATATCAATTATGAGAAAACTTGAAGGCTCCTACAATAATTGCAGAGCTATTCATTTCTCCTTATAGTTCAGTTTTTGTGTCATGCATCTTGAGGTCATGTTTTAGGCAGACACAAAATTATATATGCAAATAGAGGTATATATATTTGAATTGTAACTTTTGTCCTTATAATATGACCCTCTTTCTCCCAAGAAATTCTTCCAGCCTTAAAGTCTATTTTGCATGATAATTAATATAATAATTAAATAATAACTAGCTTCCTTTTAATGTTTGTGCAGTACATTTTTCCATCTTTTACTTTCAACTTGTCTGAATTATGTTAGATCTTTTTCTAGTTGACAGCATATATTAGATTATTTTTTAAAATTCAATCTGACAATCTTCATCTTTTTACAGGAGCATTTAGTTCCTTTTAGTCCATGTAACAGCTGATATCTATTTTTCCTTTTGTATTATTGATCATTTATTCTTTTCCCACTACTAGTTTAGAAGCTATACATTCTGTTTATATTTTTTAATATAAACTACAACAGACATCCTTAACTGATCAAAGTCCAAATTTAGCCAATACTCTTAACCTTCTCTGGGATATTTTAGGGACCACAGAAACGTTTGCTTGATTTCTTTCTTTCTTTACATTTATGTTATTGTCCTTGTTTACTTTAATTTTTTTTAACCATAGAGATACATTTTTTTGAGACATATTTTTTTAAAGATTTTATTTATTTGAGAGAGAGAGAGCATGAGAAGGGGGGAGGAGCAGAGGGAGAGGGACAGACTCCCCCCTGAGCAGGAAGCCTGATGAGGGGCTTGATCCCAGCACCCTGGGATCATGACCTGAGCCAAAGGCAGGCGCTTAACTGATTGAGCCACCCACGTGCCCCTAGAGATTTTTTCTAAAGATATAATATATTTATTTATTTGACAGAGAGAGGGAACACAAGCAGGGGGAGGGGGAGAGGGAGAAGCAGGTTCCTCACTGAGCAAGGAGCCTGATGCGAGACTGGATCCCAGGACCCTGGGATCATGACCTGAGCTGAAAGCAGACGTCTAACTGACTGAGCCACCCAGGCGCCCAAATAAATTAATCTTAAAAAAAAAAAAAAAAGAAAGAAATTGTGACTTACAGTTTCACGCTTTAGTGGTGAAAATATTAATTGGTACAACCTCTTTGAAGGACAATTTGGCAATGTCTACAAAAATTGCAAAGGCATTTATCCTTTGATCCAGCAATTTCTCTTTGAGGATTTTTTCCTACAGATACTCACCCATGTGAAAACTGTCATATTTATAAGCCAATTCATGGCAGCAGTATTTTTAGGAGAAAATGTCATAGACCAGTCAAATACATTTGATATAGCCATAAAGTGAATATGTAACTTCTAACAAAGGATAAAGACATGCTTTTTTTTACAGATATGAAGTGATTTTCAAGATATATAGTACAGGGAATAAAAATTAAAAAAAAAAGAAAAGATATATAGTACAGGGAAAGAAACATTTTGCAGAACAATGTATGCTAGTATCTCTGAAAGTAGACACAAGAATCTGATAATGTTGTTTGCCTCTGGGGAGGGGATATAAGTCACTGAAGAAAAAAAAGGAGGGATACTTTTTCCCTTGTTTTCTTTTGCACCTTCTGTGTTTGGAACCATGTGGGGGTATTACCTATTCAAACTTTAAATAACTACAGTTTAAATAAAAATAAAATAACCTACAGCTCAGAAATGCTTTGTAAACTGTCATTACTGAAAAAACAACGAGTTTAGGTTGATATATTTAAGGATGAAACACTACTTCACATTAACTATGTTACATATAAGAATGCTATTTTCCTTCATTTGGAAAATGGAAATTTTTCTTAACCCACTTTTATTTCAAAATCATAGTGGTCTCATAGTCTGACAATGTAGGAGTTATTTGTAAAGAACAAAAATGTATAAAGTAAGAATTTAAGCGCTAATTTTGACCCTTTATCTGGTAATCTTTAATTTGGAAATTTGGAAATTAATTCTATTTGGGGCCTCACTTTATTACTTAAATTTTAGATAAATTACCCTGTAGACATGTGTGTATATCCATGAAGCATTCTGAACTTCTTTTTTTTAATTGTTGTTGTTAAGCGAGGGAGAGGTAGAAAGAGAATCTTAAGCAGGTTCCATGCCCCCCATAGAGCCCCTGGGAGTTCAATCCCAGAACCCGGAGACCATGACCTGAGCCAAAATCAAGAGTCAAATGCCTAACCGATTGAGCCACCCAGGGCCCCCCACCCCACACTTTTTAAAAATTTATCTTAGCATTCTGAACTTCTTAAAAGAAAGAAATTCATAGTGAGGAGTGCCTGGGTGGCTTAGTTGGTTAAGTGTCCGACTCTTGATTTCAGCTCAGATCATGATCCAAGGGCGTGGGATCAAGCCCCGTGTTGGGCTCTGCGCTCAGCATGAAGTCTGTTTGTCCCTCTCCCTCTGCGCCTCCCCCTTCTCACGCTCTCTTTCTCTATCTCTAAAATAAATAAATAAAACCTTTTTAAAAAGGAAACATTTATAGTGAGTGGTACCTTTAAAATGAGAGAGTTCTGCATGATAAATATTTGGACTGATACATTCAAAAACACTAGATTTCTAGTGACATAAGAAAATGTACTTTCGGGACACCTGGGTGGCTCAGTTGGGTAAGCGTCTGCCTTTAGCTCAGGGTCCTGGGATGGAGTCCCACATGGGGCTCCTTGTTCAGCAGCGAGCCTGCTTCTCCCTCTGCCTCCTGCTCCCCTGCTTGTGAGCTCTCTCTCTCTGACAAATAAAGAAATAAAATCTTGAAAAAAGGAAAAAAAACATACATTTTCACTATAGTAAATATTAAGTGAAATAAATGATTTTAGATGTTATGCGAAATGAAAAAAGGTATCAAAACTTAATTGCATTTGTGTGACCACAATCCAAGAAATTAAGCGTTATTTAGAAATATACATATTAAAAGCCTCTTAGTAGACACAGACAGGCAAAAATAGATCAGAATAGTAACAGTAATAACCACCACGTTGTTGTAAAATTATTAGTGATTTTTGTTTTCCTGTATCTGCTTTCATAGATACCCTATTTTCCATAATAAACATGTAATAATTTTCTAAAGAGATTTTTAATTTAATTTTAAAGCTCCTAGTCTGTTTTCCTATTCCCAAGTAGAGTACCCTGGAAAGCTGGGGTGGAAATGAGCATACTGGCAGCAAACAAGAATGTGCAATGTGTACTGTATATAAACAAAAAACCACTTGCCTAGAAATCAAAATAATTATATTCAAGTTTCAACTTACCACCAGCTGTGTGACCTCGCACTTAAACTCTAGAATGTAGATTCCTTTGACTTAACGTTTCTATTCCTTAGAAATTGGTACAGATATAATCCAAAATTATAAATCCAAGAAATCTATATATAAATGAAAATATCCAATGCCATATAAATTATAGTAATGGAAATAAATCTCAATATCCCAGTATACTGGAATGATGTAGCAAATTATAGCAATGCTTTCAAAGAACAACACTAAAAATTATAATAATAAGACTATGTAGCAAAAAGAGAGAAAGCTGATGAAGCCGTACTAAAGAACATACTTAATGGCAGTGTATTGCCTAAGATATAAAATCAAATATTAATTTTGGCTCTTATACTATGATCTGCCTGTCTCAGAAAGTGTTCGCTCAGGGCTCCACGTAAAAATGTCTTTTTCATCCTCAAATCCCCAAAGAGTCACCGGGAATACTTATTTGTAGTATTCTTAATGCCTTCTTCCTATCCCTGTCACACTCTAGTGCAGTACTGTGGGAGGGGAACCTAAATAATGTGAATCAGTTTCTTTTCTGACAAACTCTTACTATTACCCATTAGCAAAGTTACTGAGGCCTTTCTCCCAATTTAATAGTCAGAAAAACAGAGGTACTTAGAATTTAAACAGTCTTAGCTTGGGTTTCATAGATGAGACCTTAGCAGTGAACAGTTAGAAAAGACTTTACCTGAGACTTAACTAAGATCAGATCCTTGACCGTATACCAAATTTTCATATCCCAAGTCTGGACTTACAACTGAACCAAATGTATTCCTTCCAGCTACCCTCGATTTTTCTGCATCCTCTCCTCCAAACGTATTCCACCTCCCACTCATCCCTTAGTCTATGAGCACTGTGCATGGTTTTGCACACTAACTTGATTAACTCACCTTTTTGCTCTGGTCTGTAGTCATTCTGGGCTTGAGGTTCAGTAGACAACTGTAACGCAGAATAAATAACATTGTCAGTCATCTCCATCTAATATCATTCACATTCACTTGAGAGAGTAAAATTACGGAAGTGTGAAGAGACACATATCAGTGAGGAAACGGCCCAATGTCTAAACTGCAAGCAGGAAATTTGAAGGTTTTCAAGTTTTTTTTTTTTAAATGGTCCAACATGATAAAAACAGAAGTAATTTTTCAGGAAATGACTCAAAATCTGGAGCTGATTAAGAAATTAATATTCTAAACTGTGATTTTTTTTTTTGCCTCACCACTCTCTCTAGATACTCATGAAATACATACTAGATTGATTCCCACGTCACTAAGTCTATTCAGCAAGGAGAAGTTGCTCTGAAGTCCAGCAACTTCAATTATGGAAACAGGAATAAAAATGACAGTGTTCTTAGCTATGAATTTATCTCAGATTTTATATTTGCTTTGTTTCCCTTAGAGAAAATAGATGCATGCCAAATGGGACCAATTTCATTGTTTCTTGGAGTGTTTGGTTAGGCATCTGTGACAAGAGAAATGGACTGTTGGCTGCATGTGCCTGGCATCATGGGGAAAATGAGCTATTTCCCAGATACATGTTTTGTGAATATGCTGTACCCCTCTATTCCCCCAAATATCTTCCCGATTGTGCTCTAATCTTTACACTTAACTGGGTCAGAAATTCCATTAAATTTTCTCTCCCTGTTCTCTTATTTTTGTATGCAAAGACAACTATAAGGGGAACAAATCAAATAAATACAATCTAAAGGGTGAATAATATATTTCTAATAGGTGAAACATTAATAAAAAGTTAAAATAATGAAAACAAAAATGGAATTAAAACTCTACATAAGTTCAAGACAGGAAAGAGATGAAAAGCAGGGACAGCATACTAATAAAAACTAGTATAGGGCGCCTGGGTGGCTCAGTTGGTTAAGCGACTGCCTGCGGCTCAGGTCATGATCCTGGAGTCCCGGGATCGAGTCCCACTTTGGGCTCCCTGCTCAGCGGGGAGTCTACTTCTCCCTCTGACCCTCTTCCCTCTCGTGCTCTCTATCTCTCATTCTCTGTCTCTCAAATAAATAAATAAAATCTTAAAAAAAAATAAAAATAAAAAATAAACCTCTGTTCATTCTTTAAAAAAAAAAAAAAAAAAAAACTAGTATAGCTCTGGGGCACCTGGCTGGCTCAGTTGGTAGAGTGTGCGACTCTTGATCTCAGGGTCACGAGTCTGAGCCCCACATTGGGCACAGAGATTACTTTAAAATAAAGTTTAAAAATTAAAAAAAAAAACCTAGTATAGTCCTGTTTCCCACCAAGACAGAGTGAGACTGGACTTGCTCTTCAGCCAAAGAACTATATACAACAAAACACACAAGGCAACTGTTTTCAGGCAGAGAAGTATAGGCAGCGCTGTGATCCCTGAAAGAACAGAACATGCAAAGGTGAGCACCAGTACCACCCTGGCATTACCCTACCTCTGGGGAATTTCTGGCCCAAAGCAGGAAAATGAATCCTAAACAGAGGAGGCAGAGATGCAAGTTTTGAGCTGTTTACACGCCTGGGGTTTGCAGGGCAGGGTAACTGATGAGAGACTGCAGAGAGAGGTGTCCAAAAAATGATATAGGAATCCACCATGGTCCTTGGCTAAGAGCTAGGCTGCACAGGCAGAGGACAAGCCGCGGCCAGCACCCCTGTTGAGATGGTCTCCTGCAGGACCCGAGGTGATGCAGTGCTGATCAGCATGAACCGAGGGGAAAAAAAAGTAAAGCCTGACAGAACCAGAAAGATCTACCAGTAATTTAGCTGCCTATAAGAACAAGTGTTGATGCCCTTAAAAAGAAGACAACAGAAACAAAATGTGGTCTATACGTAAAATGGGATATTATTCAGTCTTAAAAAGGAAGAAAATTGTGTCACTCTACAACATGGAGGAACCTTGAAGACATTATGATAAATGAAATAAGCCTATCACACACACACACAAAGATAAATACTCTATGATTCCACATATATGAGATATCCAAAGTAGTCAATTCATAGAAACAGAAAACAGAATGGTGATTGCTGGAGCTGGGGTGTGGGAGGAATGGAGAAGTTACTTAATAGTTATAGTTTCAGTGCCACAAGATGAGAAACTTCTGGAGCTCTGTTGTACAACAAGGTGAATATACGTGTATCAGTCTGCTTAGGCGGCCATAACAAAATACCCTAGACTGGGTAGCTTAAACAACAGAAATTTATTTGCACACAGCTGTGGACACCGGAAGTCCAAGATGAAGCTGCCTGCAGGGTTGGTATCTGCTGAGAACTCCCCCGTTGGGCTGCAGTGTCCTTCTCACCGTGGTCTCCCGTGGCCTTTCCTCGGTGCATGTGTACAGGAAGAGAGCGAGCAAGCAAGCTCTCTGGTGGCTCATCTTATAAGGATACTAATTCTAACAGATCAGAACCCCACCATCATGACCTATTTTAACTTTAATTACTTCCTTAGGTTAGGAGTTAGTTGGACAGTTAGGTAGTCAGAGCCAGGGTCCCCAACAAGAAAATACGGAGTCAGGACAGCTAAAATGAAATAGCACTGACATCCTGTTTTGCAGCTTAGACAGGACCACACTAGCATTCTGCTTTGCAGCCTTTGCAGAAATGACTTCTGCAAAACGTCTGAAAATAAGACAATTAACCACAAAAGCATTTGTCAATATCACGGGCAAGAGGCAGTGAAGACCTAAGTCCCCAGATGTCAGCAAAAAAAGACCATCAGCACAGAGACATTAACCTAATAGGTAGACAGATACGTGACCAAAGCCCTAACTGGCACAACTCAGCACACCCTGATTGCTGAAGATAGTTCCGCAAAAGAGCTCACAAAAACCGCTAAACTTAGAAATTCTGGGGGCAACTCCCTCAGGCGCCCCTCCCGCTGCAGGAGCTTTATACTCTTGCTCAACGAACTGCTTTGCTGCCCACCACTCTCCATCTGGTCTACCTCTTCGTTCTTCAAAGCGGTGTGACCAAGAACCTGGGCACTAAGGGGACAAAAATCCTGTAACATTTAGAGGCCACATCACAAAATAAAGAATGAAGCCACACTGGAGGTTAAGGTTCCAACAAATGACTTTGGGGACTTTGGGGACTTTGGGGACGGAAGGGGACACAAATATTAAGTCCATAAAATATGTAACACTGCTGAACTGTACACTTAAAAACAGTCCAGATGGCTGAAGAAGAAGAGGAGGAGGCCGGGGTGGCAGCATAAGAACCAGAGCTTCTTGAGGAAATGACTAAATCTAGGATCAGGGCACAGAAAATCCAAGATGAGTCTGGGGCACCTTTTAGTCTTTTAGTGCTAGAAAATGAGGAAGTACTCAAAAACTAAAAAAAAAAGATGAGGGCATGTCGGAAGGACACAGGAACCAAGCTGACAAAGCTCCCAAAGGCTAAAAATGAAACAATTAGAACAACAAAATAAATAATAGTACTGGATTATAACTCAGGAATAAAAAAGAGCTGTGAATTCATACTGACTGATTTTTATCTGCAGGCATTTATAATTGAAATTGTACATATTTATCACTCAGCCATCAAAAAGAATGAAATCTTGCCATTTGCAATGGTGTGGATGGAACTGGAGGGTATTATGCTAAGCGAAATAAGTCATATAATTTAACTCATATGTGGAACTTAAGAAACAAAATAGATGAAGGGGAAGGGAAGGAAAAATAAACTAAGAGGAAAACAGGGAGGCAAACCATAAGAAACTCTTAATTATGGGGAACAAACTGAGGGTGACCAGAGGGGAGGTCGGTGGGGGGAAGGGGTAACTGGGTGATGGGCATTAAGGAGGGTACTTGATGTAATGAGCACTGGGTGTTGATGAATCACTGAATTCTACCTCTGAAACTAATAATACACTATATGTTAATTAAATTGAAAAAATATATATATTTAAAGCATATAATGTGCAACTTTTGATATAAGAACACATTGTGAAATGATTACCACAAACTAACATATTCAATACTTCTAACAGTTACCATTTGTGTGTGTGGTTGTGTGTTGAGAACACTTGAAATCTACTCTTTTTAAGATTTTATTTATTTATTAGAGAGAGAGAGAGAGAGAGCACGTGCGGGGAAGCAGTAGTCAGAGGGAGAGGGAGAAGCAGGCTCTCCACTGAACAGGGAGCCCAACGCGGAGCTCGATCCCAGGGCCCTGGGATCATGAGCTGAGCTGAAGGCAGACACTTAATGACTGAGCCACCCAGGCACCCTGAAATCTACTCTAACAAATTTCACGTATACATTTATTTTTTTTTAAGTAGGCTCCTATACCCAACATGGGGCTTGAACTCACAACCCCAAGATCAAGAGTCACACACTCTGAGCCAGACAGGCACCCCTCAAGTATATATTATTTTTAATAGCTTTATTGAGGTCCAATTAACACATATGCATGCATCAATGAAACCATCACCACAATCAAGAAAATAAACATATGTCACGCCCGAAAGTTTACTTATGTACTCTGTACTACTGCCCTTCTGCCCCTCCTTTCTCTAGGCATCCACTGATCTGCCTTTTATCATCGTAGATTAGTTTGTATCTTTCCCAAGTTTGGTTTTTTTTTTTAAGATTTTATTTAGTTATTTGACAGGGAGAGCGAGCGCACAAGCGGGGGGAATGGCAGGCCGTGGGAGAAGGAGAAGCAGGCTTCCCGCTGAGCAGGCAACCCAATGTGGGGCTCGATCCCAGGACCCTGGGATCATGACCTGACCCAAAGGCAGACGATTAACTGACTAAGCCACCCAGGCGCCCCCCAAGTTTTTCATAAAAGGAGACTCATCCATGTTGAAGTAACAGTAATGCATTCCTTTTTCTTGCTGAATATATTCCACTCTATGAATAGACCAGTTTGTTTATCCATTCTCTTGTTAATACATTATTATTTAAACTATAGTCACCATGCTGCATGTACATTAGGTCTCCAAAGCTTAATCATCTTATAACAAAATTTGTACCCTTTGATCAGAATCTCCCTCTCCCCCACCCACTAGCCTCTGGTAATGACCTTTCTACTCTGCTACTATGAGTTCAACATTTTTTTTTTTTTTTTAGATTCCACAGT